GCTCTGTTCCCCTTGCTGCTCTGTTGCACATCCTTAATGTTTTGACTCGGTGTGGTGGGGTCAGATTGGGCACAATTCCCACAGTGTCTCCAGTGTTGTCCCCTGTAGGGCCATCGGTCAGTGAGGGATGTCCTGTGTCATAGTGGGGCCGGCTATGGTCTTTTCTGTGCATTGGCTGCTCTGAGCAGGAATATCATCCTCAGGGCTCGGTGGGCCAGGACGTGCTCCACTCTCTCTCCCTCCCTCTTCATTTCTCCTGTGTGCTCTCATCAGACATGTCCCTCTCCCTGAGCTGAGCTTCAGTGCTGTCCTCTGAAGTGAATTCTTATGGGGGGGAGGAGGGACTGTCCATGTAGTTGGGATTGGGGCCACCCCTCAGACCTCTCTATCGGTTCCCTGCTTCATGCTGATATGTTGCATTCACGTCTTGGAGCACCGGGTTCAAGTCTGGTAGGGGCATATTTTTATAAATAAACTACATGCAATTTGTTTGTGACATATTCATGAGCCACCACTGCCACCTGGTGGCAGCATGATTCAATCACAGAAATATTCGAAAGATGGAGGGAAGCCTATTAAATACATGAAATGCTGGGAAATTATCGCAAAAACAGGGTAACAAGCATGAGTTAGTATTTAAACAAAACTAATGTCCAGGTCTGCTCCAGTTCCAAAAGATGTACTCTGTTGGGGGCTCAGCCTGAAAGCAGGCATCTCTTTCCTGAAAATTTCCTCCCTTTTAAACATGATGCTGTGCCTTGAGTATGAAGAAGACCAAGTCAGAAAACATAATGGAGCCACCGTCCTCTCACAGAAGGTGCACTGGCGCTGATCTTCCAGTTTTTCGCGAGATGATGATCCTGTGAGCTCAAATTAATTTCATTCTCACTCCAGGACATGCAGTTAAAGAGAAAAATTCCACCGCCCAGAACCGGCTTCATAGAATTTAATAGTGTGTGAATGTGCTCTATAACCCTTACAGCATTACAAATGCCGTATATGATATTCATGACTCGACTTATAGAGATCACATCATAAATAATCCTAGAGCTGGCAGTTTCATCAACATATTTCTTTAAAATCCAGATTCTCGCTAAGCATTTATACCACTATTTACTCATTAAGCTTACACCATAAGTACCTCTTGGAGGAAGGGCAACCAACAGGTGAGCATCTCATTTCTCAAATTCAGAGCTGTCTCCAGCGCAAGTGGCTACAGCTTCCCACAGAATTACAGAACTCCTTCGTGATAATCCCACAGGCAGTGGTCAAAGCACACTGGAATGACTTGCCAAGCTCCAGCCTGACTCTTGGTGACACGCTGCCTCAGGTTCTATGGAAGGGAGCACCCTGACAGAAGTCTAGAACCCTGGCAAACTTCTTTCAGTTGTCCCAGCTTTGCTTTCCTGAAACTTTTCAGCAATGACTTCCCCTTTCAAAGGACTAAGGAAAAAGGAATCAGGGGTTGGGATTTAAAGGACGGAAGCACCCATTTTTGCTGGCATTCATGAAGGCGCTCATGGCCTACCTGCCCTGGTACTCAGGAGAAAAATAAAAATGGGCTGCTGTCCAAAGTTCTTAATGGCAAGGTGTCTCTCTTCTCCTCTCACGGAACCGTCCACACGCTCATAGCTGTAGCCTGGAAACAGAGGAAAGGAACAGAAATCTTAAACCTTCCGTGAGCTCTGTTCTTTCCCACATATAGGTACACTCTGACATTAAGCAAATACCATGGAGAAAAGTCTAAATTAGGAGCTACGTTATTCCGTAACAAGCTCTCCCCATAATATACTCCTCTGGGTATTTAAAAATACATGTAGTTAATATACCTTGCACTCACGGAGTTAATATTCAGTCTTAACTATTCCAAGCAAAACTGAGTGGCCACAGGGCGCTATTAATTCCCACTTCTGGTGAGAAGAGTCCTCATTCATATAATGAGGACTCAAGGTGACTGAGCCTGCCTGAAGGGCCAGTATCTGCCTTTCAGTGAAGCTTTAGGGCTCGCCGTGGACCCTGGTCAGGAAGGGGCAGTGTACGCTATGACTGTGAGTAGTTTGTGAGTACCGAATTCCTCAGAGGGCCAGCAGGTATTTCCTACAAGTGCCCACTGGAGCCAGAGCCACCAGTCAAGAGAATCGGAGACTAACTCTGGACTAGTCTGTTAAGGTGACAGCGCTTTACCACTGTCCTCACACTCAACCAACGTTCAAGTTTTCTCCTATCATGCCACATACAATTCCTTAAACAAGTAACGGGGTCGTCAGGCAATAACCCTATTGTCTATATGTGGAATATCATCCCAAACTTTCCCCTCGACAGTATGGGGGATCTCTATAATTTCAACATTAGTATTTGCTACTCATTTGGAATAAGAGCTCAAACGCTGCTTTTCAAGCATGCTCCTTTACTACTACCCTCTGTAATATTCTGCCACGGATTGAACTGTGTATCCCCCAAACATAAGTCCATTTGGCTGGATCATGATTCTCGATGGCATTATGTAATGTGATCTGGCAGTTAGGTAATGAGGTTAATCGTGCACTATGATGTGATCGGGTATAAGAAAATTGGGTGAATGCAACATCCTTGCTCAGGTCAATGCCCTAAGTGTGCTGTGCGGCACACCTCTTATATCTTCATGAGAGAAAAATAGGTGAGAAAATGGTGGAGCCAGGATTGGAATGTGTCTTTGGACCTGGGGTCCCTGCACTCAGAATCTCCTACACCCTTGGGAAGATTGATAACAAGGATCTTCCCTCAGGGCCAAAAGAGAGAAAGAAAACCACCTCCTGGTGCCAGTCCCTAAATCTGGACTGGTAGCCTGCTAAATTGTGAGCGACTAAATTGGTTTGTTAAAAGCCATCCGTCCTAGTACCTGTGTCACAGCGGCACTAAATACCTCCGACACATTCCCCCACTCTGGATCACTGTTCATCAATCTCTGGGGCCTGTAAAATCTAAAGACGGTTTTTAACAATGTAGCGGCTCAAGAGTGTCACCTCTGTAATCCATGTAGTCCTGGAGAATGTCCAACATCTGGGTCATTTGGGAGAAAAGCAAAACTCGATGGCCCCTGGCAAGAAAAAGAGGAAAAGATTGCCTGTTCAAGTCTTATTGAAAGAGGGTTCCCTTTATGCAAAACCTACCGTGGAATACACGATTACAAATAAATGAAAAACTAAAGCAGAAATTATATAAACATCATCACCGTTTACAGAGACTTTTTAAGCAAATCTCAATATTTTTACAAGAGCCGAGCCCCACCTGTTGCCATAATCCCTCAGAGCAGGAGCCCTCAGGCGAGGAATGGGGACAGCCCCGGGTAAGGGGGGTGGTGGGGGGTGGGTGGGTATCAGTGTGCCAGGCAAGGGGTGAAAGAACCCAGCATGTCCAAGGAGCCTCTTTGGGGAATGTCAATTCACTCAATGGATGAACAGATGTCAAGAGTAAAAGGAAAAATTCAAATGCATAAAGAACAAAGAGAATGCTGGTCAGCTTCCTAGAGCTATTTTTCACTTGGAGGTACAGCATCCCTACATGGGCTGAAAAGTCTGAGAAGACTCGCTCTGGAGAAGCAGGGCACAGGTGGCCTCGGTCCCCATTAACTCAGGAGAACCCCGGTGCAGACAGGGGAGGCAGAGTGACAGGTGAAGTCAGGACAACCCAAGCCTTAGCCCGAACTCACAGCCATCCAGCTGACTCCTACTCAGAGCAACCCTATAAGTCAAAGAACTTCTCCCACTGGTTTTCAAGGCTGTAGACATTTATGGAAGCAAACTGCCTATCTTTCTGCTATAGTGCAGCCGGTGGGTTCCAACTGCTGACCTGTAGGTTGACAGTGGGATGCTCAACATCTTGTGCCACCAGGGTTCCTATGCTAAGCGTAAAGCCCCATAAGACCAGCTATTATTTTATGTAAAGACAGAAGCAGGAGCTGTCAGAACAATATTCTCATTAGGAACTCTGATTTAACGAAGAATTCGTTCAGCGTCTAGTCCCAAATGGGGCAGAAAGCCCACTTAAAGTGAAAGGACCTGTATTCTAATCACACTTTAGCCATTTGTGACCTGGCATTAATCACATAGCCACTGGGCTTGTTTCACCACCTGTGAGATGAAAAAGTTGCACAGAAGACAGTTATGGATCCTTCTCCAACTGACACAGGTGTTACAGACTTAAGAGCTCTGATACACTGATTTAACTTGTGCATGCTTAAAGTTAGTAGGTTTTGTCAAATTTCATGTTTTGGTTTGGTCAGGTAGTACCTGGGACTACTGTCACAATGGGGCAATTTTGAAGTCCTAGCCGCCCCTCTAGGGTCTAGGAGCATTAGGTCTAGACTGGGCACCAGGCAGCTAACACCAAACAAACCTTGAGAGGCTCCAACTCCGATTTCTGGGTAAGCTCATCCTGAATTAATTCCACACCCTACAGGCTAATAAAAATGAACATTATGATTTGCCAATGTTACACATATAAGCAATTATAAAAGAAATGCTCACTGTGCCTCTGTCCTTGCAGAGCCAAATATAGGGTTGGAACAATAAGGTTAGCATAAATCCATTAGAATACAGAAGATCAAAGCAGGCATTGCCCAGTGCTGAACTGAGATCCTAAGCATTGGAAGACTTCAATCAAGGATAACTAGAGCTGGAGTGAAGTTAGACAGGAGGTCACCTTGAACCGAGGTCTTGGAAAACGAGAAATTGCAAGTCCCAAGAAATCAGTGAGTCCCTCTTTATGAAGCACTGAACAGCCACCATCTCAGAGCAGAACACGTGAACCTACCTGGAGTACAGGAATGCCAGCAGCTTATCCAACAGGTGAAGTTTCCCACTGGCCTCAATCAGGTGGTCTCCGATTGCAAAAGGCTCTGGCTCCACCCCTAAAAAAGAAGGGCCCTTCTCCAGTGACACGGCCCTGGGGCCAAGGCAGAGTCCCTGTGTACAGAAGCTGATCTGAGTTTCCTCTCCCTTTGAGGCATTTCACAATATCTGTTGTTGCATGATGAAGTTAGTGATGCTCAACACCAATCACTGATCCTAGCACATCCAAGATGCCTAAGAAATTCAGTCTTCCCAAGGACCAAGCCCAATCTTCAGGAAACAGGGAGATGCTAACAGTCAGAGACCCCAAATCGAAACCTTGAGGCTCTCGTTCTAAAAATCGAATTAAGAAACAGACTCACATGTATAAACCAGTGATTCTCCAGGTGAGGAGTGACAGGGTAACCTTACAAAATCTACCTGTTCCCAGCCTCCCTTCCCCTAAGTAGGCACCTATCAGAAAAAGAGACTATGATATTATAAAACAGTTCATAGTACTATCTAGCAGAGATTCACTTAAAATGACTGCAGCAAACCCCCCATCACAAAACAACTAACCTTAACACATCAAAATTATCAATGTCTTTAAAACTTAAAGGCTTGAAGGTAAACAAGCTGCCGTCTAGCTCAGAAGCAACAAAGCCCACATGGAAGAAACACACAAGCCTATGTGATCACGAGGTGTCAAAGGGATCAGGAATCAGCTATCAGGCATATCAGAACAAAAAATCCTATCATTGTGAATGAGGGGGAATGTGGGGTGGAGACCCAAAGCCCATCTGTAGGCAATTGGACATCCCCTTATGGAAGGATCTCTGGGACGAGGCCAGGCAGTCAGGGTGCAGTGTAGCAACAATGAAACATACTACTTTCCTCTAGCTCCGAAATCCTGCCCTCCCCACCCCCCACTATCACGATCCCAATTCTTCCTTACAAATCTGGCTAGACCAGAGGATGTACACTGGTACAGATATGAACTGGAAACACAGGGAATCCAGGAC